TAGTAGGAAGTTGTTATCTCTCGGGTGGGCAACTGATGAAATGAAGCTATCTGCAGGACACGGCAAAGCAGGCATTCATATATAAACCTCACATCTGGAATTCTTTCTGCATTTTCATTATTTTGTTTCTAAGGACCTTAACAAAGGTAGCCAAGACTAAACTCTGCACAAAAGTAGGCTTACTGACAAGGACATTTGATATTAGAGGAAAAAACGAAATCAGCCTTAACAAGACCTAAACTCTTTAAAAAAGGAAAAACGAGATGTCATAAAAAGCAAGATATTCAGTGCATGTTCAAAGTAGAATCTTTTGGATGTACTTTTATTTCATAAAAATAATTATGGGTTGATCAAAAACTGTACTCAGTAACTAATACCGATGTGCAGACTGGTATAAAATAAAGAACCCTTTAAATCTGTGAGGGAGAGATTTGTTAATTTGCCAGCAGTCATATCATTCTGCAACTCACAACTGGCAACCCACCGAAGCTCAGCAGGTGTGAGCCTGGTCGGTGCCTGAATGGGAGACCTCCTGGGAAAAACTAAGGTTGCTGCTGGGAGAGGTGTTACTGGTATACTAATGCCCCAGTATAGTGACGGGGACACTTTACATTAAACAGGCACCTTCCTTTGGATGAGATGTAAAATCAAGGTCCTGACTCTATGTGGTCATTAAAAATCCCAGGGTGTTTCTAGAAAAGAGTAGGGGTGTAACCCCTTACCAGTCATGGCCTCCCAATAATCCCCCTCTGTGAATTGGCTTCATTACTCTGCTCTCCTCCCCACTGATAGCTGATGTGTGGTGAGCGTTCTGGCACACTGGCGCACTATGGCTGCCTTCGCATCATCCAGGTGGATGTTGCACATTGGTGGTGGTGGAGGGGAGTCCCCATTACCTGTGGAGTGTCCAGAAAAGTGCTATATACTGTATGTGTAAGCAATTATTAATTAGTATTATTATTTTTCGAGTGTCAGGTGATTTAGTTGTATGGATTTGACAGAAATGTCTGTATAATGCAGAACAATATGATCACATTGTATATGAAATGTATATTTACAATATTTTACATACAACCCTATACATGAAACCATGCCTTTTGTATATCTAAGTTCCTTTGGAAAGGATCCCCCACACACACTTAGTTTCCATAGCAATAGTTTGAGAGATGGGGGTGACCCTCTCAATTCTGTTGTCTGTTGGCAGGGGGGAAGCCATCAGCACAACAGCCCAGAACCCTGAAATTCGAGTTGTATGGAATATCACTCAAAAAGCATCAGGGGCCACACGGTCTGCTCAGTGATCAACCAACCCAAAGTGATCGATGGGCCTACCTCCTGTGTCCTGCCCATTTCCTGAACAAATGAAAGAATCAAGTGCTTCTGTCTCTACATTGAAGGGTTTTCAGAACACACTGAACTGATTACCTGGAGCTGTCTGTGTGTTTTTCAATTCAAGATGAAGAAAGGTGACACTTTCTACAAAAGGTTTACCTGACTGCACTGTACTATGAATACATACAAGATGGGGGTATGTTATGATAAGTTTGAGATGCTTATGATAAGATAAGGATGTGGTTAATGGCACTTTCTCTCATTGTATACCAGAACAATGATTCATCTTTATCAGCTGTTATCTAAGTACGTTGAAATATAATGAATTTAGTGATGCTACTGCACTTGAGGAAAAATATTGTGGAATTTTAATATCAAAGTCTCTTTTATTCACACTGCAAATAGCACCTTACATGATATGCGTCTTGGAGTTTTTGTTGTCTTTAAAGCTAAATCTTTTAAAGAGTACTGTGTCTTAAAATATGATACACAGTTGGAGTGGGATAAGAGAGGTTAGAGAAGAAAGTTGCTTCATAGAGCAACAGTTATTAACATACCAGGTAAGAAAACAGATTTGGGTGACAGTAGATTTACATCAGAAGGTCTTTTTCGAAACAGTTTTAGATTAGGCTGCTGAAAATGTGATGATGGTTTAGTGTATGTTCTCTGCTGGGGGTTGGAGAGGGGAGACAAGAGATTCTGCTCCCATTGTTTGAAAAACAGGTATGGTGCAAAATACAAGTTTTGCAAGATATAACAGTAATTAACCTTTTTACAAGAACATCTAATTACCTGGATAGAGTCTGTTTTTTGCACATCATTGTTCCATGCATGCATGTGTAGTACTTTCAAAGCAACAAGCTCAGATCATTCCTTCTCTTAAAGGTCATCAGAAATACAATAAGAGTTAAAATAACGACAGCTGGGAAATTCTGAGTGGGAAGAGCCATTCCTGATTGAAAAGCGAGTTACTCTTTTTATACACACTGTAGTAAAAGGTAACAAAGAGTGGAAACACAAATAAAACTGGATAACCTGAGACCAATGTGACAGTTCTCAGAAGTCCTGTATCCAAGTCAGAGGAAATACAAGTGGACATTATATATTCACTGCAAGAAAAAGGATCTACCTCTACGTTAAAAAGTCGTTCATACATTTTCAGTAGCTGAAAGTCAGTAGATTCCTACTTGCAATGTGTGTAGCCAAGTCTGTTGCATTACCCCCTTAAAACCGCTTCGAAGAAGAGTTTTGTTTTGTGCCCAGGAAATGCAGACACTCATGAAACCTACGTGCAGAATAGAGGTTGTGTCAATAGCTCGGCCTCATTTCTCTTAATGGAGTTTATTTACAGTTCAACTGACAATGAATTTCACTGAACAGGAACCTTTTTTTTATATTTCCTTTGTAGGATTTTTCCACATTCTCTGGCAGTGGTTCTGAGATGCTTACACTGTAGCAACACCCTTAGAAAATGAGACAGTATCAGGCTACTGAAGTCTTAAGATAACAAATCTTCTAATTTCTATAATGTCAGAAAATTAATTTGGCCTTTTGTGTTGCTTGTGTTAGGACGTTTTACCGTGTTTACAGGAAACTCTATTGATGTCTCTGTGATTAATCAGAAAAACTCACCAAACAACTCTGTCACGCAGTTACAATAAATGACAGATAGGATCAGAAAATGCAAAACATTCTTTACATTCTTGGTCATGAAAAAAGTCAAACTTTGTCTTCTTTGGTATCTTTAGTAAATGAAGCTTGAAACTGGAACAATGTTGCAACCTCCTCCAGGTCTTCTCTGCCATGGAACAAATCCATCCTGAACATATAACAAAGTATTTTTGAACAATGTCAAAAAGAAATATTTGTACATATTGCTGCACACACACGGCAAAACCCAAACAAAAATGGATACTTAATATAAATGAAATTCACACTATCCTATTTATGCATTTTATGTTGTAATAATATTATCCCCACTATTTACATTAGGATATTTTAACTCTCAGTTAAGGCAGGAGCTACAGTATAACTAGAGATTAGAGAATTATAAATGTGTCACCAATTCATAATTGTAGGCCAATCAGTTTAATTTTTGTTACCAGTAAAGTTAAGGAAGAGATGGTTAAAACAGAATAATATATACAAAGCAATGGCACTTCAGCTCACACTGATTTCAAAAGTGATTAACATATCAGAATTCCTTGAGCAGGCAACAAAGACAGTTCATGTGTAGGTTTCCAGAAAGCCTTTGAAATGATCCCACTTAAAATGTTAATTGTCAAATTAAAAGGCATAGGAATAGTAATATATGCACATTGATCGAGAACTGGTTAACTAACCAGCAATAATGTGTCACAACCTCTAATTTAGCAGATGTAAGCAGTGGTGTGCTGCAGGGATTCTGTTGTTTTTCCCAATCTATATCAACTATTTAGATTCTCTTATTGCTAATAAAGTAGTTAAATTTGCAAATGTTCCAAAAAAAAAGCAGGAGGGAGTGGCAAACACAGAAACAGAAGCAAAGGAATCACAATAACCTTTGTATAGGACCAACATAAAATCATGTACTGGACAGACACTTAGCCAATGAAATGTGATAAGTGCAAACTGATCAATAGCAATTCAAGTCTACAGCAGTCATGCTCAAGATTAACAACACACTAGTGAGACTTCATTTAGCATATTATGTTCTCTAAATATACAAAACAGAATATACATCAGTTTTGGTCACCTTACCACAAAACAAATATTATTCTTTGAAATAATAAAGAGAAGAATTATTCCTGGTTCAGAGAATTGTCATATATGACGTGATTCAGAAAGCTTAATCTCTTCAGTCAAGAACAAAGGAAATTTGCACCTTGTTTATAGGATCCTTAGAGGTAGAAACAGGGTTAATCCAGGAAACATTCTCAGACTCAGCAGGGGATCAAGGGTGGTGCGTCACAATATAAACCTAAAGGTCAGGGAATATAAAACCTTTCTGTACAGAGCTGCGTGTCTCTAGAACTGATTTCTCATCCAGGTTGTCAGGGCTAAAATTCCAGGCTTCTTCAGGAACCAGGTTGATTACATTTTAGATTTCACTTAATCTAAAAATGTGAAAAAAACACAAATCAAATTCCACCAGAGGAAGAGCTGCGTGTATACTACCTGAGACATGCAGCAAATGGTGTCTAAGCTCCCCATGCCCCTACTGCTCCCTAATGCCAGTGGTCCGATTCCAGGTAGACAGGAAGGGCAGAGGGGTTCTGAATGGAATGTGCACCTGGCATGGATCCAGCAGGTCACTGCTTTCATTCTAGCTTCGGGGATTGTGAGGATTACAACCTCAGTTAGCTGCAGTCATACCTCTGTCCCCTGAATGACTGAACCCTGCGACAGATGAATCCAGCCCCTGCGGGGGGTGTAACTGACACCGTGCAAGCTCAGAGCTGGAGACATGCAGGGACAAACAGGGAGCAAGGGCACTCAGGTAGTGTTTGTTTACAGACTGTTGTACCAGCAAAAAGGTTGGAAAATGCATTCAGGAAAACACTCTGGCATTACCATTACAATAAAAACGACCACCCCCACCTGTGCCCGTTCCAATCACAAGCCCTGCCATCACCACCACCGCCCTTGAGGAGGTGTCAATGTTTAACTTGCAGACCCACCAGCTACTCAGAATCACTCTCCACTGCTCTCCTACGCGACAGGTAGTCTTGTGCATCCAAGAAACCAGAACATCCCTCCAACCTAGTGCTGAGAAAACTAAGAGGCACCAGGTAAGGAACTCTACCTCTGTCCGTCTCCAAGGCTTTGTTTAGAGGCATGGTTCTTTAATGAGTACGCCTGCCTATTACAGTTCAAGTTCACCTCACATGCACCCTCTAAAAAGGAAAGAGAAATGGTTTGTCTAATGGTGATTAGGTGCAACTGGGTTTTGCTAACCAGTCCAGTATTACTATAAGCCAGCTTGTTTTTAAATAGATATCCACTGGTTTAGGAGGAGTGACCATCCCAGAGTAGAGCAATCGGTCACATTTCAGGTGAACGGTTCAGGCACAATAGCTCCTGTAGGTTTGTTCAGACTGTATCAATTGAATCCACAGCATCGTGTTTTTGTTTGTATTGTTATTATTTGATAGAATACACATTTAGCATGTTGAACAATCAGAAAATAAAGGAGGTTTAACATTTAAAAATCTGTATTTTAATGCATTAAAACATTATTTAATTAAAGGTACTTCAAACTCTTGATGTCAGTAAATGTACAATATGTGGCCAGCTGAACTGTCTAAAGTATGCCTTATAAACTTCTGTATGGTTTCATTTGCTTAAACACAACTCAACTTCTAAGTCTGTTAAGTAAATCAATTTTGCCACAATTAAAATCATATTTCCTTTTAACCCCTTCTGTGGCAAATTACAGGCAGAATCTCCAGGCAGTGTGTTGGATGAATTTCAGATTCTAAATAGAGGTTATATACTTCTAGGCTAGAAATTACTTCCACAAACACAGCCAAGGCTTTGCCATCAGTGTCGTTTGTAGTGGGCAATGTTGAGAACTTTGCGGTTTACGAGGAGAAGTTAGCAAACCACTTGGTTCAGCTAAGGACCCAAAATAGGGATATCTTGACTCACTTGTTGATGGTTTTAACACTGACAGGTTAGGTTTTCCATTATGAAACAAAAAGACACCCTAATCACACTTTGGCACAAAGAAAACTCTGTCCCACACTAATCTGTGAAAACAGAAACACTGATGAGTTTACCAGAAAAAGTTTCTTTCAGAAGGCAGTACTTTTCACGATTGCTAGAGTTTACTGTATTAATGATGGATTATAGATGCTGATCACTCTAAAAACAAAAATGACCATTCAGACCTTTGCTTGCAGTCAGGAGTTTCAACATAGAGGACCTCCTTGTGCCATACAGTAGGTTGAATGTTTATTTATGTTAACAGTTTAACCTATGAAAAACTACGGACAGGAAAAAAAAATACATTCTTGTAATTTAAAGTATTTCAGCCTCGTAAACTTAATTCAGCCCCATCTCTGTATCTGTTGTGTTCTTTGGCAGGATGCATGAGGATGCACACATCATTTGCTATATACTCTCTAGCCTGTTGGTCAGTACCTGGGTTTGTGAATGAAGTGGAGTACCATGGGTTAACCACCCGGAGGTTCCACCAACAAAATCCCAAGCCTACTTCGTACATTGTTAGATGTGTTACTGCATCATATATTCTAGGATCAAGACCCTCCTGGACCTCTTACCAGCTACAAAAAGGTCTTTCTCCAAACAGCGTGTTCAAACGGTCATGACAAGACACCTTACATTGTGCTTGCTATTTTGTAGCATTTAGTAGTTCAGGTGGGTAGCTGCATCAGCATGCGTAGTCTGCAAAGGAACAAGTAATAGGTTTATTCCATGCTGAAAAAAAAGAAAAAAGAGAACATGTTTTGGCCATGGAGCCTTCTTCAGGAGAAACGTTGTGTTCTCTTTCTTCTTTTTTTCAGCATGGAATAAACCTATTACTTGTTCATTTTGTAGCATTGCCTACATTGCTGGGGGATCCCCCAATGATGGGGGACCTATCCCTCATCCTCAAGACCCGTTTGCTGTTGTGTTCCCATTTCAGCATTATTCAGTAATTAAACAACAGGGTATTTCCTTTTTTTCACAAAACCACTGCACAGAGACGTTCAAGCATCTAATAAGTAAAACACATACTGTACAAGTACTGAATTTTGTGTATGAATAGATCTGCTTCCAAAACAATACAATGTACTGTCACACAATTTATACCTAGAGCACAAGAATGTTTAATGCTGGCCGGTGAAGAAAATAACTAAGGGCATGAAAAACTAAATAAAAACCAAGGGCAGGATTTTTATTTAAGTTGTACACCTTTAAATGTCGTCTATAACACTACTATAACATTAGAGATTCACAAACCCACCACAGCAGATTTGATTAACCAAGTTTTTCAGCAGCAGTGTGGAGCAGTTGTTAAGTCCTTGTCCTACTGTGCATATATATAAGTTGAAACGAATAATGGCAAATTCTTAAGAAAAGTTATACAGGACAGCAAAAGCTGACTAATGTGAAGAGATAAGCACTTACAGGACAAACTCTGAACCTGTGATAGTTCTGTGTGGAGAAGCAAGGACAGTCTTGCTATACGTCTAGACTGCAACAGGAGAAATATGAGACACCTCTATTATCGTTCTTGCTGATTCAGGTTTTACCTAACCTGTATGAGTGCTCACTGACTGACATTTGAAAACTAAAATAAAAATATGAATTTCACACCTGGAAAGTTATGTTTTAATTGACCACATCAAAGGCAAACACACCAGTGCACCACTCTGTGTGTCACTACTGTAGATCGAGCAGATAACATACTGTTGAATAAATAAACGTGTTTTGACTTTTCAAACACCGTGCCATAAAAAAATACTGGTCCTGTATGGGATACAGTTCAAAGGTGACCACAATTACACAAATGTTTTCTGTATTGTGCATACAAAGAAGATTAATTTCTGATTCTCCTGTAAGATTTAATCACTTTTTTCTTTTTGATTCCCTGGGGTGACAAATCATTTTTTCTTTTCGCTTGGTAAAGCAGTTTTTATTGTCATATTCCTTGTTACACAACTCTTCAAACTGTATATTTACTGTGGTGGTTCTACAACACAGACCTTGTAAATCTTTAAGTATATAGAAGCTATGCTTTAATTTTCTATTTGTACTCAAATTAGTGGTAGAAGAAATTGCATTTTTTAGAAAAAACCATGCCGTGGTGGATTGTATTTCCACTTTGCGGCGTGACACGTTCTTGCTCAGAATAACACGAAGGAATTACTTGTTTTCAAGCCACAGACAAACTGTAATGTCTCTATTACAACGTTCTATAACAGCTGTTTTACAGCATTTGAACAAGCAGCATTCCACACGATCACAATGGTTCTGGTAAAATATTAGCCCCGTTAAAATCGGGAAACGCACTGTAAACTCAGCCACGGTAAGTGCAGAAGATGAAGGTCATTGAAAAAATGGCTGCAGGCTATGAATGGGTCCACTGCTCAACTGCTAATTAAACTGCACTACATGCAGAAGCATTGCAGAAAGATATTTGCATTCAGTGGAATAAAACACATTTCACAGGCCCTTCAACATTAACAAAACTTTGTTCCTGAAATGTGCATATTGTGTTCTTGTGCTCAAAATACAACAACCAAGTTTGGATCAGGACTAATGTACTGTATACATCCACTAACTATATATTTGGTACAGAACTGCTGCATTAAAAAGTTATTTTGAATTTGACCAGCAGTGGAATCGGAACAAAAGCTCTTATGTCAAAACGTTTATTCTGGTGAAATTCTGTCCAAGCCCTTATTCGGTAAATAGCCTGTGCTGCAGTGTTGGATCACAGTAGGTCAGGGATGTACTGTATGATGGGGCAAATCAATACAGACTGAAAGGTGCTGTCTGTTGCTTCACACAGAAAACCCCTCCTCCCAGGTCAGGCACAAGTGAGTTTGTACACTGTTGCCTTTTGACATTTGGTTTAATCTACAAATGTAGTGTTCTGTATACTGGTTACATTCAAGCCCAAATACTATTACGACAGAGGAGGTGTGGGGTTAGTCCATCTCTGAGTTGTAGCAGGTAAGGTATTTCTCCCAGATTCACTGTATCACTTCCTGCAGGATTGACTGTGCTGTCAAAACCCTTGTGCTTAAGACTGGTGAACCATTTTTTGGAGTTTCTAAAATGAAGCAAAGTATCTTCAAAGTATCAACCTAAAGCACATAAACACACTTGAAAATTAAAAGCACTGTACTGTACTTAATTGGATAATTGTGTACACAAAATGACAAATTAGATTTAAGCAATTTCATGGTGGCTGTTTTATTTTACACTTCTCTTTTGAATATAACAAGGTAGAAGTCAATTCCTTGTTCTTCCTTGTTCTTCACCCTGTCAGACACAGTGATGTAATTCAGTGCTTGAACCAGTCATTAAACTCCATCAGAGGCCAGGAGCAGCAGTGAAACTGGTAAGGCAAGTCAGCCATGTTAATTTTGTCACGAGAGTAAGCTAAAGGAAAAACTGAAAGTCCTAACCTTACACTAGTCTGCTCTCATGGTAATTACACTAATTCTGATGCGTAGAAACCGTTTTACAGCTTCTGCTTTGTTGTGTATCTGTCAGTGACACCATTTTCACTCAGCCTGTATGCTAACAGACACATTCAATGCCCCCAGAAAACTCCAGAAAAGATTCATACATCAAATTGCTTTAGTTCCTTTTATTTAATTATTTTGTAAAGCTGGGCACATGAGACACATAAATCAATTTTACCATACACTATCAATTTTAGGGCCCAAAATTAAAGAGCTATTCTTTTATTACACAAGCCTTCCTTGTGTGATGTACAGTGACCTCCTTATTGCTGAACTGTATGTACAGCAAGCCATATTATGGTCCAACCACAAGACTAGTCTCAGATATTTAGCTGATACTAGGAACTAGAGCTTTTTCAGTCTCACCACAAAAGATCTGCAATAAAAAACTGTTTAGCAACTCCTCAAAAACAGATTCTTACAATGTCACTTCACAGTGCAGAGTGTTATACTGTATCTTAGTCAAAGCAACTATAATCAATTTAACTTTACTTTTACAGACATGGCATCATCAAATCAGGATTTCAATAATCAGACAGTCATAAATTAATGAGAAGTTATCTCCAATGTGCCAGCTGTGAGACAGCAGGTCTCAAGTATTGAGCCAATGAAATATCTTCAATTCATAAGAAGTAACTATTTTCTCAGTAGCAGAAACTGTTCTGACTCTACCTGGAGTCACTGCAATGTGACAGCGATTAGTATGCATGACTCTGGGTGAAAAAAGAAGAATTTTGGAAAAGTAAAATAGCAGTTTGCAAACTCCAGCACAGAACTTAAACACTGCATTAAATTCTATGTTTAGAGGCACAAGCACATTCATAAAATTAAACTCCAATACCCATTACTGTGAATAAAAGGTGTAGGTGCATGTGATGTTACACTTTCATTTCCAAAAAATGGAATGGTATGCTCCTTCACTTTCATTTTCAGTTCATGTCTCCAAATCTAAACTGATAAAAGCTCCTATTTGGCAATGGTAAATGTAAAACATCTTCACAAGTAAGCAACATTCACAATTGGGTTAACATTGCCTTAAAAATAAGATTATATTAAGTCCTGGTGAAGGTTTGCACTACATTTCTATTATAGAGAAGTAAACTATAAATAATTTGAGATGTTTTAAGTTCCTGGTATTAAAACATCCTCTTGCAATTTACAGTGCTAGCTGCTCTTATCATCAATCTTATCATCAAAGAGCCAGCCATAATAGTTTTGTCATATCAATATTACCATTTTAAAACAAAACATTAGATTGTAAATAAAGCATTCAAACTTATTTGAATTGTAAATACTATATCTAACACAAAATGTATTATACTATTATTGCTATTATATACTATATAAATTAGTATGCTATAATTATTACTCAAACTGTGGTATAGAATCAAAACCCCATTGTATAAGAAATAGGAGAGAACATCAGAAAGATTACAAACAAGAAGTCCACTGGGTTGACTTTAACAATGAGAATTTGAATATATGTACTGTATCTAACAATAAGGATTGTGAGAAAACAATAAATAAAGTAAAATGTCTTTTTTGAACAGTTGTTTGGGACAATTCATTTAGATAAATGTAAAGAAGGTAGATTAATACTAGAATTCAAACCTTGTCTTTCGAGCCACTTAATTTACTGTATAAAACCTGTTCTTTATTTTGACTGGCAGAACAAAAATGAACTAAACTGATTAATTCCTTTGTATTTGTTTGGAATCTTTACTCCATTTTCCCAGTTCTGCGCTGGCTTTTGTGTTAATACAAAATCTCCCTTAGAAATTTCAACAAATAATTCCAGCTGTAAGTTGAAAAGTCCAAGAAAGAGAAAGTATCTATTTTCCATTGTCTGCTCTGTAAAAAAAAAAAGAAGAAAAATAACATGAGCTCAATATTTAAACTTCAGCACGCATGGAATAAATGCTTCATAAACATGAAACAACAGTGAACACGAAAACAAGTTTTATCATCCTGGTTCCAGTATTATTAATGCTGTCATTAGCAGCTCAATCAGCGTCATCACAGTCTTTATACTGTAAATAAGACTCATATCCTGCATCTGCTCATACAGTAGGTAACTGAACAAAAAGCAAGCCTAGACTTCCATTTTCAGGTGTTCTATATTCTTGTACATTTGTTTTTATGTTTGGCTACCAGAATAAGCATCTTCATCCATAAAGGAAGCTGAGTTAATGAGGACACATCAATTCAGTCAGGGACACTGTGGTGATTCACAGCAGATTTATTTTTGAGGGTACAATTTTCAAGACATTTGAAAGTTTCCCTCTGTCCGTAACTTCCTCTACTATTATCAGATGATGAAAGAGTTCCAGTTTCCAAATTATCTTTTCTATAAAGTCCAAGTCTAAGTAGTTGCACTTCCTTTGACTGGAAAGCTGACAATGTCCTTCCCAGAGAATTACTGTATGTGCTCGACTCCACAGCTGAAATGGCTGAGCTTTCTTCTTCTGGATAAGACAACGGCTGAACTTTGCTAAAGCACCTCACCGTCTGCAGCTGTGTAATCTGTGTAAACAGCACCACAGCCCTCTCCAGGGTTATTCTGTTCAAATACATTTTTCAGAAATGTTCTCAAGGGCTGTAAAACACTGTGGAAAACAATAAAGCTTGGTGGTGCTGACTATTCAGATTTTCAGAAGACACTGGTAAATGAAGGCAAGAAGAAAAGCCCCATTCCAGCTGTCTTATCAGGAGTGAAAACTCTTCGCAAAACTCAGATAAGATTTCTAGAACTTAAACCCCCCCTTCCCTTCGACACCATATCTGGCTCATGTCCTTAGTTTCAGACATACACTACTCTATTTCAGTAAACACACTAATCGCTGGCGTAGCCCAGTCCCAGTATTGGCAGGTCTTTTAAAGTTCTGTCAAGACCAAATCCAGTAACATTCCAATGGGAAGTGATCATTCCAACTGTGATTTTAAGAGCTATGAGTAGACTAGTGCAGAACTTTATTATGGGCTGTTGTTGGGGCTTTCTGCTTCCCCCTGTCTCAGTTTATCCCCTTTCCTTCTTACATCACCATCCTTGATCTTGGTTGTGTTTAACACATTCTCTAATATGTGTATAAGCAACACACCCATTGTGTTCTTCAGTACCTTCAGTGTTCTGGCTGGGATGCAGAGTCACCAATTAGCAAGAGCAAATATGGAAAATTCACCCCTCCCATCCACTTTAACACGGAGCGCAAAGACGCCAAGGAAAAGCAAAGCATGCCAGGCATTATTTTTCACTGATGTGATCACCCGTGTTTACAAGATGTTTAAAAAAAAAAGAAAAGAAAAATTTCTCAGAATTCCTTAGTGTAAGGAAGACCTATGATGTAACTGTCTTTGAATTTTCTTTCTGCTGGAAACACTTAATCATGGGCTCAATTAGAAAACTTAACACTGAAACAGGTTGACAAAGAAAAAAAAAACAGTTCTTTAGTTTTTGATTCTGTGTCCATTGTTCAGCCTTAACTCTTCCAGAGGCAGTTGAATCACAAAGTTTGCAGTACCTAGAGGTTATCTCCTTGGTGGTTTAAGCTTTTCTCAGTTCATCAACGTGGATTGCTTTGTGCAAATGCTATCCAGAAAGACAAGCCTGTTTTTACAGAAACCTTACCTGAGGCTGTCACTGGGAACAATTCATTCTAGGTATCAAAACTGAAAGTACGTGTTCCAACACGAAAGGTTCTTTCCAGCCTCTGCTTAAATACTTTACACGTGAAATGTTAAAATCTATTGTGTTATGTTTGATAATGTTATAATATGTGAATCATGTGTAATAATTTACAAATCCAAAACGTCCAAATCCAGAACTAAACGTCTGTAACATTAGTGTTGGAACCAGATGTAAATTGATTATACCCAGCTCCTTCATCAAACGTGTTAGCTATGATCTTCTCACTCAGGTAAGAATACAGAAATTTGATACTATCAGAAAAATAGGAAACCTTGATAGCATCTCACAAAATACTGTATTGTGCTGACGGTTTGCTTAATCTCAAGCAAAGTGAAACCAAATCATAGCAACTGTCTCAGGTTTAAAGGACAACACCAGATCTTAGATGGCAAAGCAGTGGAAAATAATTGCAGTATGCAACTATTGGGCATCACTATAGCAGTGTCTCAGCAGAGAATTTGTGCATGATAATTCCAAGTTGCTAAGAACATTTCAAAGGAGTGCCATGGCAATCTGTTGCGATTGGGTTTTTGTCTCCAGGCAACTGCCTCATTACGATAAACTGTATTGACACAACACACAGAAGGGAACAGAAAAATTATAAATGGTAAACATTCCCCGATATCTATCTTAAAATAGATCAAGGAGCAAGCAAAGTGTATCAGCAGACCAAAAAGGTGCACACGCAGCAAAAATGACATTTTCAACCACTATGGAAAATAAATGAAAATGCTTTCTGCTATTTCCCCAGTTAATCTGAGCAGCCTCACATTTCTGACCTGTAAAATAGATTAATTCATCTTTTCATCTGGAGGGCATAACAAAGACTCTGATTTGTCAGATAATAATTTTCAAAACCTTTAAAAACATGCACTTCTTCAGAATATATCTAAATATAGGCGACTAAATGTAGCAAACACTGTCTAGGTTCTATCAGCTTCAAAAGCAATATCTCTGCAGAAAAAGTAGCAGAAAAAGTAGTTTTATATAAGACAGTGTTCCACCTCTTTCATTTTGTAAATGAATTGAAAAGATTCAATTAATAATACAGGATATACACCAGAAACAATACAGAATTTAGCAGTATGATGATTTACACACAATACACTTACATACAGATATAATGCATTAATTTAAAACATGTCCAGGTGATTGTCTGGTGGTGTGTTTCATGATGTACTGTAATGGAAGACAAATTCAATCAAATTGTTCAGACACGGGTGTAATGCTTTGGGTACACAGAGAACACAAGAATGCACTAAAATCTGAACATCATGGAAGTAACATGCTCCACTTCAGTCAGGCCTCATTAGGTCTGGCTAAGCAGGTAGCTTACACTAACACATCTTGAAAAGTAAAGAGAAAAACCATCAACGGTGTAGGCACATTTTAGGAAGGATGTGTTTTTTTAAATTCATATAGGCAGAATGACTACACTTTTGTGCCAGAAAATGACCCAAATATTTTCTTCCATAGTACACTGGGCTGTATTTTCCACTTCCCATTCCTGAGCCCAGCTGGATATAACCCTCCTATTTGAGTTAAGACACACGCAAAGCGAGGTCAAGTGTCACAGAGGAGTAAAATAAATACATGAAGCAGAAGTAATATGTCTAGTGTAATTATAAGCACCCATTTTTGACCCCACTATGCTAAACAAGCATTCCTTATCATTACAGGAGTGTGGAAAATAATGTGGAACGCATCCACAGGCAAGTCAGGAGATCTGTGTCGAGCAGTCTGTACCCTGGCGAAGTGCTGAGTTCTTAGGTCACAGCCTGTGTGTTCCTCCTCATCAGCAAGGCCTGAAAATGTTTTGCAAGTGCTGTGTTTGTTTTCCAAGTCTCTGATTCATTCACCAAGGAGTTGTCGCATGGAAGATAGAGGAGCAGGTTGCACAATGGATGGGCAGAAGTCCAAATCTGTGTTGCCGTCTGTGAGTATCTCCATCTTTGGGTGCAAACACAAAGGACGGAGATTCATAAAACAGGAGCTTGCTGTAGCCAACTTGAAACATGAGGATAAAAAGGAAAAAAAATGGGTCTGGATTTAGATTGCCTAGTTTACACTAGGACCAGCCTTGTCATTAATCCTCAGCATGACATCACAATCATTTAGTTCAAAAGAACTGGAGCACTGAAGGGAGAAGTGGGTAGACGTGCAGCTAAATGGTTTGGGTTTGGCAGACTAAGAGGTGCAAGTTCACAGGTTTACACAGCCTCAGTCTGAGTGCAGAATTTAGCTTTGGATGAGGAACCGTTTCAACGGGTGAGATCTGTGAGATCTGTGTGAAGCATCTAGTTGAATCCTTGCAAAAAGACTATTTGGAAAACTGCTTCAAACTGCCGTGCACATTCCCTAAAGAGTTCCAACTTCCACAAAGAAATGCTTAAACATCGAAGTATATTTTTTTGCCAAAGGCTTAAATTGCTGTTGCAATTCTATTTTTTATTGCAGACCCAAGTATCTTAATGTCATCCCATGGAAATATAAAATGCTCTTAGGGATTTTAGAACTAGTTTGTTAACAGACTTCAAACTACAGTTTGGAAAACAATTCCTTCTAAGAATCTTTTTTTAATAAAAAGGACTCAGTTTCCTCTATAAAGTTTCTCTGTCTTCGGTTGTAACCTTTCAATCATCAATTTGTACGAACTGAGAAGACGTGAGTTTTGATCAAGTTAGCAGATTCTTCTTCTTCTTCTTCTACTTCTTCTTCTTCTTCTTCTTCTTTTTCACAGCCTTAGTCCCAGACTGTCCTGGGGTCAGCTGCTTTGGTTGCTCTTCTCCACTTGTCTCTGTCGAGCACATCTTCCTCACTCAAATCTGAAATGGCCAGATAGTGGTCCTTTGAGAGCTACAAAACATAGGAATTTTCATTGAAAATACTCTCTGGACTACTTAATAACCTGCATAAGTTATCAAAATGAAACCACTGCACGTCTCTGAAGAAGGACAAGTAATGTTATCTAGGCTTCCTTGTTGCACATCTTCAGCTCAGCCAAATGTGCATTTGCTACTGACATGCTCTCCTTCCATGTCCTGTCCTTGTCTCTTGGCTCTGCCGTCACTGGCAGCTGTGTGAAGAGGTTCTCAAGGCCAGCTTGCAGGTGTCCATGACAGGAGCCGCCTGCTCTGCTCCTTACTGGAAGGGAGCAGCTTTCGTAAAAATATTTGTCAACGCCTTATGAAGCTGCTTTGTGAGGCTGCCCTGAACATGGCCCTCTGGGAGTCAACTGTGTTGTTGAAGACATCATACAGCAGCAGAGGGCTGCAGGCACTGAGCTCCCAGCAACTAGACCAAAGCTCACAGTCCGACCTAAATCCTAATGTATTTTTCCAACGACAATAATAACAAATCCTTGCATTTCTACAGCATTTTACACATGGGGGTAACTTTGTCCTCCATTACGGTGCAGCCCACTACTGGGGTGATGCATCAGCAGCCTCACTGCACAACTATACAACATAAATGTTTTGAAGTCACAAATATGCCAACACATTTTATCAACATCTGCTATTATAATCAAATTATAATCAAATAATTCAGTCACTACTATCAAAACACCCACTTAATGCCAGTATTAATTTGGATGAAATACATCCAGCAATCAATTATGTACTTCAGTCTTCCCTAGGAGCCTTGAATTTGAATGTATATCTACAGGATAATTTAAATAACAATCTTCTTAGGAATATGGATATTATGACAGGTTTTCCAATTCATTGCCCTCTTATGAGTGCTGCTTCCAACATTCTTAAAATCAACATCATTTCAGGGAAAAACTTAAGCATCACCTGCTGGCAATGCACGTATAGAATAAGAAAACACAAGCCTGAAAATGTTCTCTTCTTTAATTTCTTGCAGGATTCATAGACTCAGACTATTTTAAGAAGAACAGCATTTGGAGCACTAAGGCTTCCTGGGCAGTTCTGGATAAGATGAACGCCGAGGTGGCTCTGTATACTACTATACTAAACCCAGAGGCCACCACGCACTTCAGTAAGAAGATGGAGAAAGGATGGGAGTGCAAGAAGAGGCGCTATGTGCAAAAGGATGGCAACTGCAATGTTGTCTTCCGAAGCCTTCCTGGGCAGTGGGGTCTCTACGTGACTGACATCTTCACCACTCTCGTGGAAATCCGATGGCGCATCATGTTCCTGATCTTTTCACTCTCCTACATTTTATCCTGGCTCTTTTTTGGCATTTCGTTCTGGCTGATCGCCATACAGCACGGAGACACGCAGGATCTAGAGAACAGCCCATGCGTTGACAACGTCCGCAGCTTCACAGCAGCGTTCCTCTTCTCGCTGGAGACCCAGACCACCATTGGCTACGGCTTCCGAGGCATGACAGAGGAGTGCATGGTGGCCATCATCCTCGTGACAGTGCAGGATGTCCTCAGCTGCTTCATCGACACCTTCATAATCGGGATAGCTGTGGCCAAGATGGCTTCTGCTCGGAAGAGGGCGCAGACTGTTGGCTTCAGCGATTCTGCCGTGATCAACATGAGGGATGGGCAGCTATGTCTCATGTGGCGCATTGGGGATTTCCGCCAGAACCACATGGTAGAAGGTACTGCAAGGGCCCAGATAATCCGTCACACAGTGCACCCATCTGGCAAAGTAAGTGTATCCTACAGGGATCTCGACCTTTGCCACAATGAAATCATCCTGGCCACACCAACATTGATAATTCACAAGATTGGGCCGAGCAGTCCCCTCTACAGGCTGAACATGCAGGATCTGCAGACAGAAAACTTTGAGCTGGTGGTCACCTTTACCTATACTGGGGACTCCACAGGCATCTTACATCAGACTCGCACCTCCTACACACCTGCAGAGATCCGCTGGGGCCACAATTTCTGCAACATGCTGAGAGTGAAGGAGAAATACTACAAGGTGGACTACTCTCTTTTCCACCAAACCACTAAAGCGAACACTCCGGAGATCAGCTCAGAGGAAAATGAACTCAAAAAGCAAAGACAGTCAGTTCCACAGCAAAGCTCGGTGCATGATCCCACATCTAGTGCCAGCACTGTGGTTCTCAGAAATCAGCCACATGAGGAGAATATGAACCCATTACTAATAAACAACCACCTTCCAAACAGCAATATACAGCAGGCAGATCAGGAAGACCAGCTGTAGCCAAGCAACCTTGGCACAGACTTACAAGTATCTTGCAGATTAAGTCTTTGCGTGGTTCTCCAACTTTATTTCCTCCATGGGAAACCAGCAATTATCCAAAAATACATAGCGTTAGTCTATGAAGTACAGTACATATGACTGTAGATGAATGACTGTAATAGAAATGTCTTTTAATGTAGCCCTATAAGGAGCAAATCTGATTAAATTTGCAGATGCAAATTTGAGCCTGTAGAAGAACAAATTAAATTCTCATTTAGGGATGATTATATAGAACAACTAAACATAGAGGATATCATTATGTTCATGAAGCATACTGCTGATGAGAGATGAATTTGGCAATGGTCTTGCATCTTAAGAAGCCACTGTTGAACAATCTCCATATTAAGACTTCAGAAGCAAAATAAATGGTGAATTAGACAACTATCGAAGAAAGCGTGTTTTATTTGATAGAAACATTTTTCTTTATCACCGAAAAAAGTCGCCACCATGACCTAGCCACCATATTACCACACATGTAGAGCACTGGCGCAGTGCCAAAACACTCATCTGTCTTTTAAAGACTCTAAAGAAAAACACTGTGAAAAAGCAAATCTTAAAATATCTATTACTATACTGAAGGATATACCTGTCTCATGCCACCATGGGCTAAGCATATTGAAAAGACTTGAGTTTTAAATAGGGACCACACTACTAGGACAAACCAGATAATGAGGCTGGGCTGCTCCTCCTCAATACCTCTTCTGAGCCCAAGAACAAACTTGTGGGGCAACCTCCCCACTGATGATGAATCTGGAGGGTCTCAGTTTCATGTCAAAATGTTTTTTGTACATGGAAATGCATATAATACCTAAGCTTCTGTTATTATGTGTGACACTGCAGGTGCCTCCATGTCAATCAATGCAGTCTTCTAAAGAACAGTTACATGCTATGCTGAGAATATTATATAATAATATATTTTATGATTCTTGATATATATTATATCATTATATATTATATAATATATCATACATATGCTGATATCATCAAAATGCTGATGAGATTTTTGATGGGACCTCCAAACGTATGTTATTGATTCTAAAGGTTTACTCCTGACTGTTCATTTGGGTAGAACTAGCTGTCCAAAAGTCTGATCAGAGGCCAGCAGCTGAGTGATTTCTGAAAGAGAAAGTTAGCTGTCAGCTGAATGAATGACTTTTTGATTGTAACCACTGCTGTGTCATTACCTTTCCTAGAGGACAAATGTGATATTTAATAGGTGGTAATACATGCATAAAAATAGAAATCCATCTCTTCACACTTCAGTTGGCATCTATGTACAACAATCTGTGTTACGCATCAAATATTTTTGATAGCATAGGAATTAATAACACAGGTTGTTTGCATGACATCTCAGGGTGAGAGGTCTCTACTGACAGGAGTGTAATTCAAAATATTAAACTAATTAAAAGAGAGTGAGCTGAAAAGCTGCTGGTGAGCTCAGCACTGTGCAGGTTTTGGAGTATTTTCAAAGCTGGTTTTAGCTTCAAAATTCTAAAAGCTTTCAGACTTGAAAGTGATGCATAAAAGAATAAATAAATATATTCAAAGGGTAGGAGTGGGAAAAAATATTGAACACCATTATCCAGGGATATTTATATTCCTGTATGTTACCTATGACGTTGAGAGCAATGATCACATACGTTCACATATTACATCCATCTGACAAAATGAAATGAAAAATAAGGCCATTAGAAGCTGGAATAGCTGGAACACAATCCCTGTGCCAGACCAGGTGCCAATCAGTGCACAGTGTGGACACCAAGCAGCATGAAGGACGACTGGTGTCCTGCACATCAAGTCAACACGCAGAGCACACTGCTGGCCTGAGAAGCAAGGACACGTGTTCCAACAGAGGAAAATTACTTTACTATAAACCAGGTAATAATAATAATAACTGCTTACACTTATATAGCACTTTTCCTGGACACTCCACTCAAAGCACTTTACAGGTAATGGGGACTCCCACCAATGTGCAGCCCCACCTGGATGATCCGACGGCAGCCATAGTGCGCCAGAACGCTCACCGCACACCAGCTCTCAGTGGGGAGGAAAGCAAAGTAATGGAGCCAATTCAAAGATGGGGATTATTAGGAGGCCATGATTGGTAAGGGCCAATGGGAAATTTGGCCAGGATGCCGGGGTTACACCCCTACTCTTTTCGAGAGTTGCCCTGGGATTTTTAATGACCACAGACCACAGGACCTCATCCGAAGAACAGCGCCTGTTTACAGTATAGTGTCCCCATCACTGTACTGGGGCATTAGGACCCACATGGACCCACTGGCCCCACTAACACCTCTTCCAGCAGCAACCTTGGTTTTCCCCAGGAGGTCTCCCATCCAGGTACTGACCAGGCTCACACCTGCTGAGCTTCAGTGGGTTGCCAGGTGTGAGTTGCAGGGTGATATGGCTGCTGGGTAAGGTAGAAAACGTCATGGATGTCAACAATACAAGCTATGCTGGAATTCTCACCATGCTCTAGGTATAGTAGATACTGAGGGAATTGATCTCAACAGAAGTAAGAAATGGCTTACTTCACATTGTAACAGTTGGAAAAGCTAGATTTTTCAGTTAATCTTTTTTTATTTACAAAACAGAAAAAATGTCAGAGGAAATCGTGCCCATCTAATCAATTTCCCTTACCTTGGAAAATAAGATTATGGGTCCTACTGCAGTCTGTATTAACTTATTTGATTGTTTCCTCTACTTTTAAAAAATCTGATTTGCACAGACGTCGTGACGTTTAAATTGACCTTTGATTATAATTAACTAATGGAATTAAAGCCTACTTTATTTTTGTACACTTTTTGGATTACATATTTAGAGCATATTTCTCTACAGAAAAGCAAGCTCATTTTTCTTTTAGCTTAATTCCTCCTGGAGCCAAACTAAACCTTCTAACACCTGCAAGCTCTCAGTGTACTTAGCTTTATGGAAAACATTTAACACCGAGTATCATTCAGGTGTCATAATTAATTTCTGGGGAATTAGGTTATACGACCTGTTCTTTATCCAAGCAATGTTGTTCAAAGCACACTCATACAGTATGTGAAGGACTTTGTATCCATGGTTAGAGTATCAGAGAATACGTTATTTACTGCAATAAAGTGATAATTAACCACTAGCGTTTTGCAAGCTAAGTATTGCTTGTGAGACGCTAATATTTTACTCCCATTCAATGTTCAAATGCAATGCTTACTAGTCTTAAACCCGTCCCGTAAGCAATGGCCACACGCACTGAGCTCTGACACGAAGTGTCTAAGACAACGGGAAAATTTATCTTCTGTATTTTCGAAACATTGCGTTTCTGCTCTCTGTTCGATGACTAGTATCTAAAAACGGGGAAACGTAACGTTGTATTTTATTAGGTAAGAATCTCCAGTTCTCCACCTTGTGGCAGAATGAAGTACCAACTTTGTTCCCAGTAACTTTTAATCGCCCATGAAAACTAAACACAGACACCGAAAGCCAACTCACGCAGCATGCCCGAGCTAAAATTACTCCCCGTTATTTATAGCAGAAGCAAAAAGGTAATAAAAACAATCACTTCTGTACAAGTACGGGGGCAGTTCGTGGCACAGTGATAATGATCAGTGTGCGTGTCATGATATCAGATTCAACAAACGCCTGAAGAATTCGCGATACTAAAAAGATAACGAATAAAAAAAAACTGTTTATTTTCTAATGAGGACGACGTTGCGAAATGAACGACATGTTTTTAAGCTCTAACAGCAAGCAACAGGTTCCTCCAGTCCAAAGCAGGCAGCTGTGGAAATGGTTTCAGTTTCGACGGCCTAGGCTAGGTTCAACACTTTCTACGCACTCCAGAGAGAAACTGTATATCCAAAGTACAGAGTATGTAGCACAAGCTGGGGAGATGTTTCACAAAGCTGTTTCTGCTTAAAACTATCACATACGTGTGCGTGATGTGTGCGTTTTGTACAATGTCACCGCGGCAGTTTATTGTAGCAAACGTTCATTTTTAAATATTCATAGTCATGCCAAACGCCCGACAAAGGAAACCAGAATAAAACACAACAAACTGGTGCCCTGTCTCACTGTAGGCTATCAAATATCAATACTATTACAGCTCAAACATCCATCTATTATCCAAAGTTGATTCGACCAATGCACGTCCAACCAAAGAGAGGGGGAGCCTAACCAGGCAGACACTGGGAGTCACCGCGGGTCACCAGTCCATCACAGGGTGCACACGCAGACACACACAGGGGCAATATGGAGACCCCACGTAACCCAGTCAGCATGTGCTTTTTTTAAGTGTGAGATAACACACAGGAATATGAGGAGAGCATTCAAACGTCTTGCCCAGAGTCTAACCCAGGATGTGCATGGTGAGTCAGAGATCTAAGCTCCATGCTCCTGATGCTTCAACCCTTTCAACACTCCATTAAGAGCCATTTGGTTGCTCTTCAGTCTTGAGCATCCTTTGATTGACATTAAAGAAAACGCACATGGACACAAATAAAAACCCTGGCAAGCTCTGTGTAATGAGAAGCACCATTGAAGGCAATTTCTATATTCTTACAGTCTCTAAGACTGTGCTGGACATACATCAATGAAATGATTTTTTTTAAAATCAAGATCAAAACTATTTTGGAGATCAGAGAAACATGCTTGTTAAAGGAACACACCATTACAGTGCATATGAGCTACCGCAGACCAAATCTAGGTCTTTTGTTCAGTAAATGAAACTGAGAGAGGTTATTGACATATCTCTTTACTCCGTGATAATACAGTTGAGACACAAGCGCGTTACCCTGAGCATTCAGCTTTTATATACTGTATGTGAAGACTGGATTCACATCAGCAGAACAGTAGCCTATTGAAGGGGCTCACGGAGTGCAGGTTAACAGCAATGAGTTAATGTGGAACTAAACTGAACGCGAGAGAAGCAGCCAAATTGCATCACCATTGGCTAATAATAACAACACCATGAGGCCCTGAGATGAGTAGGATGAAAGCAAAACGCGTGCAGTCCTACAGTATGTACGCATCATTTCGTGATGATGACCCAAAAGCGTGACTTGCCGCAGATGGATCTGCAGCATTCCGGGCGCAGCTGTCAGCACAGATAGAACTTTTTGAGCGTTGGTCTTTGGATCTGCAGGTTACTGAAATTAAATAGTGCAGAAAACGAAAGCGGCACGCTAACCATCTTTTTTAATTAAAACGCGAACTTTCTCATTGTCGTGAATAAAAACAAACGCGGACATTTACAATTTAAGATCGTCCGGGAAGAACATCCTTAATAGTAACTACTCATATACTGTAGGTTCCTATATGCAGCTGGTAACGTTACCATGTTCGTGATTAGTGGAATGAGTGGTTAAAAACAAATGCTATTCAGACATAGAAACAAAACATTTCTTGACAGTCACACGCAATAGGGATCTTATTATTATTTTACTGTAGCCTGTAACTGAAAACTACCGCCTACAGGTCGGCGTCAGACTTCTGATTGATTCAAAGATATTTTAAATGCTGTTTATTGACACGTACGAGGTCTAGAAATATTACTAGCAAAGGTTTATGTTCCTGTTTCCCGTTAAAGAAGAAAACGTTTTGTTCTAGACAAAGCTAACAACTCAAGTTTGTTTCCTTTTCATGCAGTCTACGGGATTTTAAAGTTCGCCGATTTAGTGCCCAGAAGAAAGTGAAAACATATACACTAGGAAATATATATCATTTATATAATAACTTGTGGCAGCTGTTTTGTTGATCGGATGCAGTTGTGGGAACCGAGATTCGGTTTCACAGTACTACGTAATGTTGTCATTTTGCATTATGGTTTCCGCAAAAAAAGACGTAAAAGATACGCCACAGAAATCTAACAACTTGGCTTTAACAGTTCCGTCACGTTTTACCTCCTGTTTTCAAAGATAAAGTAAACTCTCAGAATGTGCAATTATCATTACTGGACACCACCAGTACGGAACCACCCACAGTAAAGCGAATATATTCTGTCGCCTCTTCAGACCGCAGTAGATAGAAATGCAAGCATGCAAACATACTGATATTATTTATAATGAACTGCTCCTTGTTCATCACAGAGAGCAGCAGTAAATCAAACCTGGTAGCAAGCGCTACTTAACTGCAAATCAAACTTTGCCTGTTTCGCTGTTAAACCAGAATATGGCAACTACTGAACTCCGTTTAACGAGAAATAAGCCATTTAAGGATCTCATTCATTGAGAGCAACCGTAGCAGTAACTCATTTCCCAGGGTGTCAGCAGCCGACCTACTCCAGACACCTTGCTCAGACAGCAGCACTTCTTCGTGCAAGGAGGCTTTCAAGATATTTAGTTCAAGTAATCACTTTCAATATCTTTCCATTAGTAACAATACTGGACAGAAGTTTACAAGCGGTCGACAACTCACGCCTGCCCTTCTGCAAGTCGATTGGCTACGAGGGAGATGGGCGGGGGGAACCGGTACACGCTATTTAAAATGCATGGTGGAAACTGTAGGCTTGCCAGATTACCACTCTCAGTCATCGCGGTAGCGAATGGGGCATTGGTTTTGACAGTAATTTTTTTTTTTAAAAAAAACTATACATATATGAAATTATATAAGGGCAACCTAATGTTGGATACTCGAGAGCAATAAACACCGGGGATCTATTCTATATCTGTTTACAGCGGGGTAACCAGTTTCCCTTCGGAGATCAACAGGTAAGAACTTCTCATTTGTGTTTCTGGTGGCCGGGAAGGCTCCGCATGCTGTTCAGTTACATTTACCAGCAAGATTATTTCCTAAAAAACAAGAATGCTTTTAAAAGCGGTAGTTCTGGAAGACTACGTAGTTCCCGTAAATGCTTAGCTGTCAAACTCAGAAAGATTCTCTGAAGGGCTCTCGCAGACCTAGGACCTAGTTGTACTGTAACTTTTCATTTGTGTGCTATCGTATGCATTACAGATTCATATACGTTACAGATGTCATTAATATTCCTAGATACACAGTAGCTGACATAGGCTAGTACTGTCTTGTATGAAAATATGGCGTTAGAATGAATATTGGCATGCAAACTTAAGTTGAAGTCTTAGCAGTCTGTAAAATAATCAACTATCTGGTATCCATTTTGCAACAAAGCTCGTCCCCCAGAGTGTGAAATCCACGACTACCAAAACAATTTCAGGTTTCAACGTGTATAATGTTATAGGTACAGTATACTGAAATCACATATAATTTTTTTTTCAAATATTACTCAAAAAGTCATGGCTATTGCGTTTAAAGAACTTGTTAGCAACCTTCTTGTCGTTCGCTTCAAATTAAACCACAGGGTGATTGAGAGAACTGTCTTTTCCTTCGGGTTTTCTACAAACGTGTTAACATGTTGTAACATCTGTGGAAGTAGTTCTGGGGTGTATGGATAAACTCAAACTGACACTTGTAACACCAATCATAGCTCAGGTTGCATCACTCTGCGCTTTAGTCTGGAACTGCGCTCCTGGTGTTCCAAGTACCCGCTGAGATGAACGGACAAACCCGTGTTTGAACTAGGCTGTAATTTTTTGATCTTACTGAGTGTTGTCCCCCAGAGTGAATCACCCCTTCTTTGACTATTTGCTCCCTGAAACTGAACAAACGCCTGCCCGAGGGTATCGTCTTATTGGTGCTGCACCTGTTACTTTTTCTGCGTGCAAGCTTGTTGCTTAGGATTCAATTGCAGTGATAAATGGGATCCTCACTTCCTATATAGGTAAACATCATCATTGTGTCTCTAGCATGCTAACTGCACAAAGATATACAGAGCCTAAACCAAGAAGACCAACGTATAACAACGAAAAGAGCAATACCGAAGGGCTTCACCAGGTAATCTGGGGTGCCCAGTTGTTTCTGAAACTTTTGAAAAGTACTTTTTTTTCTCCATTTCTGCATCCAGTGAAGTATTTTTCCACTCCGTGTTGCAAATGTTGAGCTCAAAGCCAGCAAGAGCCCATCAGGTTATGTAGCCAAATCATACGATATTACGTGCTCGTTTGCTTCTTTTTAAGAGCACGACACTACGTTGGCTCACACACTTGAACACGCGCGTCTGGCAGAAAAATATACGTGATGACAATACACCATGTCTGCAAGCCAGTGTCCAGTATGTGCATTTGTCACAGTTTGTCATTATCAGCACTATCAGAGCGTCACCCACGCTGCCCTCCACCCCGTGTTCTCCATCTGTTTCTCTCCAGACGCCGAATTAGTCAAAGCAAGCAAGTAACTGATGAAGTACAACATTGCAGTTCAAAGAAAAAGGTCTTTAATTCAAACAAAATCCACATTTGCAATTGCTGAATGCATTGATACCCTGCCCACCATTACCTGTTCACCTGCCCCAGCTTGTTGTAGGGTTAAGCAAGTACAGTATAGTGGTATTGAATTTCCGTTAGAAATAAATCGATCTTTTAGTGTATAAAAATAGAGTGAGGTTTATGCAACATTTTCCATTTGCCTCCTCCCTGCCATGCATACAGTATGTGGTCACAAACAAATGCATGCGCCATAGAAGTCACTCCATGTCTATCACATTGCATGTTCATCACAGAGTCAGAGAAACAGTTAAAACACTTCTCTTTTGTTTAATCAAGTGGTATTACATGAAAGTCGAACCAGTCACATGTGTGGTAGTGCTGTATTAAGCGATACCCTGCATCACTATAAATGACAGTGCAGAAAAAAAAAGTTTCTGTTCAAGAGGATGCTCCGTACTTCTTTCCCCTCTGGAGCCTTTCTGTATGACATGTCATGTTTCATTAATCTCCAAGTCTGCAGGATTTTGACAGGATGCATGTTGCTGGTGGCTAATGTACAAGCAAGGAAGGTCATCAGGTGACACTCAAGCTGCTGTTTAATAGCCTACACTCAGCTTGTGAAATAATATAGAGGTGATGCATGTATGTTGGTGATTTGGAGCACTAACTCCACTGTGTTCAGTAGCCCGTTAAGTACCATGCTGTCTTTTTGTGTGTTTCTGTCATGCTCCACTATTTGTTTGTTTACTTTATACAAAAACATCACTGTTCTGGAATCAGAGCAGCCAGATATTCTGGAGTCTAAGAGAAAGTCCTGCCGTCTATGTAATTACCTTACTGAAACTGACACGCTGGCTTCTTTCAAGAAACAGTTGGATAAGATCCTCATATCAATTAGCTGTGAACATCCAATCGGGCTGAACAGACCAAATGGCATCATCTTGTTTGCAATCTCTCTTATGTTTCTACATTCAAATACCCCTGATGTGTGGCCGTAAGATTCAAGCCTTACCTCCTCAGCTCTCAGAGACTGGCATTAACAACCCACTAACACAGTACTTGCCTGAATAAGACAGTTACAGATGCCTTACACCAGCTTGGATTTTCAAACTATCCAGAAATCATTCTACGGCAGCTTTCAAAGTTTAAATAAAACTTTCATCAAGTTGCAATTTTTGAAAAGCGCTCATAAATATAATTACAGTTATTTTAGATCATTTGAATTAAAGAAGTGTTAATGCCAAAGTTATCCACTGGTTACACAGAGAGATGCAATTTGTTCTTATTTTGCCAGTTTCTCAAGAAAACATCTGTTTAGATATATTCTGTATGTGTATTATAGTCCACAAATTATTGAAGAAAAAAGCAATGAAGAATGTCACCTTAATGTGCAATGTGCAAGAAATAGTAAATTCTAGATTATTAAGAAAGCAAAGTTGTTCTCTTGTATCTCAATAGCTACTGTATATATCAATTTAACAGAACACTTTATGCCCTTCACTGCTACATGTCCTTTGTTGTTAAAAGGCAGCAAAGGATATGGTGTTAGTGCTGCAGAGCTTTTTAATGAGTGGAGATCGAGTTCTCACCGAGAGGTCCCATAGGACAGTGATGAGCAGAGATCCCTGAAGGTTTGCTGTGAATCAACAAGCTTTGCGGTTCCCAAGAGCAAAGAAAAGACTGCTCTGCTGAAAGAAAGTGTTTTTCCAACTGCAGAGGTTCTCATGTTGACAAGAGGGAGAAATATAAAGTTCTTATTTGAAAGTCATCTAATATATCCTTATTAACAGCCCATGTGATCGCTATTCTTAGACTCACAAAGAGGTAGAAGACAGTATATCAATGTTATGGGTAAAGCACATTGCAGTGGCTGTCTATTTTAAAAAAATGTAATGATTTAAGGTATGACATTCTTTTAAAAAACTAAAGTTAAAATATGGCTTCTTTAATATCATTTTTGTTTTTGTATTTTACTTTGCAAAATTACTGTAGACTTTGATCCTAATAGTACGAAGCTTTGAAAAATGAGTAATGGACATTGATAAAAAAATGTGACCTTTAGCCTTCTTTAGACTATAGTATTTTAATAGAAGCACTTCAACAATACTGTAAGATGCTGCAGGGATTTTATTTTATTTGTCTTCTCCTTGAAATGTCAAAATTACAGAATCTCCTCTTTGTGAGTGATGTGCATGGCATTCTCAGACAAAAGAGAAAAAGGCATGGAAAGCTTTCATCATGCTCTGCTGTGATAGAATGTTATGTAACCAGTACAGTTCTACAGTGAGATACAAAATAGAGTGCTTATTTTCTTCACATACAGTTTGCATAGGTTGCTGGCCAAATCAATGAAGATGCGTTTTAAGGCTGTAATTAAGCAGGACTGGTCAAGTGGCAAATTAATGTTGCGTCACTTAGTAATCAAATAAAGCACCACTCTGTTTTCTTTTTGTAGAGGCCAATTTTGTGTTTCTATTCAAGCAGTAAGAACCTTTTCAATGCAAGATGTTAATATTACCCTTCACATGCAAGTGTAATGCTGTGACCTGGCAGGGAATTGCATGTTTTTTCTTAACAACTACCTTTCGGTCATTTAGTCTTGAAAGGAGGCAGCAGATGTTATATACTATAAGTCTACTTGCAGAGATGCTGTTTAAAACAAAAGTCAAATTTTATTGTTCTTTCTGTTTTCCATTTTAACCTCACGGCACCCCAAGAATGGGGGAAAGTGAAGTTTTCACGGGCCTTGGAAGGACAACCAAACCACTTCTGAAATGTGGCTAATGAGAAAAACGATCAGACTGTGTAATTTTATCTGTCATACACAGTCAAGCCAACAAAAATATATCTACGATTAACAGCAACGATTTTACTGGATCCTATCCGACAAAATCCTTGACTTTTCTCTGCAGCAGTTTAAGGCAAGAATAGGGTTAGATTACATGCTGTTATTTTGGCATAACATAACATATTTTGGCAGGTTTGATCATTTGTACCCTGTGGTACTTGTAAAGGTTTTCTCAGGATACAGTCCTAGTCCGTTGTTCAATTGTTAATCGGATGTCTTTGTTGCTTTTTAAACAAATATAGCATATAGTTTAATACTAGTAACGTCCATTGCCTGCAGATACAGGGACTTGTGCTTTTCCATTTGTTTATTCATTCCTGCTCTGGTTTGGGGTTGCTGACATAATGATGAACATTTGGAACACTCGTATAGTGGGAAAGTATCCTTTGAAGTGTATTCAGACTCATTAGCTTTCAGGCCTTAAATTGTCCTGGATTTTCTTTTAAGGGTTAAAGTCCTCAGCACATTTGTGTTCAGTGATTGCTCTGCTGTTTAAACAGCAACAACACCTCAGTATTTTTTTCCATTGCTACAAGCTGCTAACTAACCACTGTAAACTGCAGCTGTAATTTGAGCCGGCTGCCATTAGTCATTGTGTGTAGCACCTAGATTTTGCAGCTGAAGAAAAGGTGAGCTCGTTACATCAGACGGAGCTTTTTACAAAAAAAGTACATCATCCTAGAAACCTTTACTGCAATCATTAAACTCAGTGACTGACCTTTAAAATAAAAGACAAGAATGAAACTGAAAAATATCAGTCAGACAAACTTTAGATCTGATGCTGAAATATTCATGAAATACAGTGTAGTCATCATGGTTAGTTTTCCAGTATGAAAGAATTATTTTGCTAAAGATTTTTTTTACTTACCACTTAATTTGATCTAAAGGTTACAAAATACTGCTTTTATTACTCTATGTTAAAAAAAAAACTATGTAACAGTCCATCTTAATTCAACAGCAAACAAATGGAAACATTAAAAAGCAGCTTTTCTTTATGTGGGTGCCATGCAAAAAACTTCAGCTTTGTCCGTGTCCATGCCAATGAGTTGAATGATTTCCTTTTGTTTCTTATTCCCACAGAACACTTCACCAATGAGGTCCAAAGACCAGATGAAAGAGGACTGAAAGAATTCTTCCTCAGTCCACAGACCTTCCTTGGTGGGGCCAAGGATAGCAGAGGGGCAGAGCACCTTCTTCCAATTCACCCTATTTCTTTTGTGTGTGGTCCCACGAGCGTTCAAAACTGTTTCTCCAAAGGTTTTTCCAGAAACTCAGACTGTTTTCCAAAGCAGAAGCACAGCCATCCCAGGCAGACGCGATGGGAAGCGTGCGAGCCAACCGCTACAGCATCGTGTCGTCTGAAGAAGACGGGATGAAGCTGGCCACCATGGCCGTGCCCAACGGCTATGGAAACGGCAAGGGCAAAGTTCACACGCGGCACCAGAGCCACAGCCGCTTCGTCAAGAAAGACGGCCACTGCAACGTGCAGTTCATCAACGTGAGCGAGAAGGGCCAGCGGTACCTCGCTGACATCTTCACAACCTGCGTTGACATCCGCTGGCGCTGGATGCTGGTCATCTTCTGCCTTGCCTTCATTCTTTCCTGGCTCTTCTTTGGCTGTGTCTTCTGGCTAGTGGCTCTGTTCTACGGCGACCTGGACAATAACACTCAGAAATGTGTCTCCAACGTAAGCAGCTTCACAGCGGCTTTCCTCTTCTCCATCGAAACGCAAACAACAATAGGGTATGGTTTCCGTTACGTAACAGACGAGTGCCCTGTTGCCGTCTTCATGGTGGTCTTTCAAAGCATAGTGGGCTGCATCATTGACGCCTTCATTATCGGAGCCGTCATGGCCAAGATGGCCAAACCCAAGAAAAGGAATGAGACCCTAGTCTTCAGCCACAATGCCACTGTAGCCATGCGGGACAATAAACTGTGCTTGATGTGGCGTGTGGGCAACTTGAGGAAAAGCCACCTGGTTGAGGCGCATGTGAGAGCACAGCTTCTTAAGTCCAGGACCACAGCTGAGGGGGAATATATCCCCCTTGACCAGATGGACATTGATGTAGGCTTTGATAGTGGCATTGACCGCATTTTCCTGGTGTCACCCATCACCATTGTCCACGAGATTGATGAGGACAGCCCCTTCTATGACATGAGCAAGCAGGACCTCGAGACCTCTGAATTCGAGATTGTAGTCATCCTGGAAGGCATGGTAGAAGCCACAGCCATGACCACTCAGTGTCGCAGCTCCTACCTGGCGGGAGAGATCCTCTGGGGTCACCGCTTTGAGCCAGTTCTCTTTGAAGAGAAGAACTACTACAAAGTAGACTACTCACGCTTCCACAAAACCTATGAGGTTCCCAGCACACCTCTTTGCAGTGCCAGGGACCTTGCCGAGAAGAAATACATGCTACCCACTTCCAACTCCTTTTGTTATGAAAATGAGGTGGCACTCCTGAGTAAAGAGGAGATGGAGGACATCGGAGGCAGTTTAGGGCCTGAAGGCACCAACACTGACACAATCTCAGAAACAGACCACAATCAGGCCACTATGCCTCTAGAGCCCAGACCTCTGAGACGTGAATCAGAAATATGACTGTATAACTTTTGGGAATAGGGTTTGCAGAAATCTCTTTTTCAAAAGGCACATTGAGCTGAACTGGGCCCAAAAACGGAAATCCAGTTTCAGCAGACGGTACTGCTGTGAGTAGTTTGGATTGAGGACTAGAATAGGATTTCTTTTTCTTAAAAAAACAGACACACAGACAACATTATGAGCTTTCTGATAAAGAATATGAAAGACTGCCGGATGACACAGTGACAGTATTTAATTCTAAGTGAAATGACTATACTTCTGTGTGTATCAAAAGGTGGAAAGGATTAAGGTTGAAAATGGATGTTTTGTGTTCAGAGGTTGAAAACTGCAGTCATGTCTCTGGGTATCTGTCCAGAAGAAACATGAGAACAACAAGATGGGTTTAGTAGTATTCATCTGCTTTATTGTTTTTAAAGCTGCTATTAAAAACATGTTTTACAATAAAGGCAGGTAATACTTTTCCCACACACACACATATGCACGCCTCTCTGTGTGTTAAAAATATAGAAATTGTACTGAGTATTGTACAATTGACTAGAATTCTCATTGCCATCTCCTTTTTTTCCCCATCTTAAACCAAACAAATTTGCACATTTGCACATAAAATAGATCCCAGGCAAGAGAGCTCTGAAGTCTTTGTTAGAAAATCAATTAAAAGGATGTTAGTTGTAGTCCATTAGATGTTTTAAGAGTGAGAAATTTCTTACACATTTTCCAGTGAAAGCACACTTGGCCCACCACCTGTTGCCTGTCCTCAGCTGTCCTACTCTGTGGGCTGGGCTGGGCTGACCTGGACTGAACTGGTCTGGTCCAGTGTGCATGCTGATGAAGCACTGACCGAATAGGAAGTTTCATAACGTTTCCCTAGAGACAGGATCCTGACAGACAATGCTGAAGAAGAAGAGAATTAAAAAAATAAAGAATACCATTGTAGTGTTTTAAATGAAATCATTAAGCAATACTTCCTCTGTGTGGGTGACATGGAAGCAATAAGAAATGCTAATACTCAGAGCACATATAGTCTGTTTTTTGTTCCTGTTGCTGTGCTTTAATCTTAATCCTCTGTCAACGAGCAGGTCTCTTAAGGGAACATTTGTCTGTTGAGCTGCAAAATCATCATAAAAAATATGCAATCCATGTAATTAAATCTTTTGAAAACTGCTGCAGCCACAGCTTTTAAACAGATGGACTTGTTCAGTAACATAGCAGCAGCAAACAACATACATGTTCAGAGGGGCAAAACATATGAGACTGTGCACGTTAAACTGCTGAACCCATCTTGTTCTTATCTAAATATAGAATCCCTTTGCAATATGAGCCTCTATCCCTGTCTCAGACCCTCTTTCCAGAAAACCCAGTGGAATTTCATTAACATAAGCATTGGCTTCTGATTAGATATCTAAACCTGGTCTTGGGTGTTTTTTTTTTAAGTAAAAACACACAGAGGAGCTTGTGAGGAGTCAAATTAATAGAGAGCGTGTCTGCTTCTGTTGAAGAATACAGACAGAAAGTCAAGAATTTAGGAGTGCATCAGAAAACAACTGAGCAAATGAATGTCATGAATTGCTGCTATACTGCGTGTATTGTAACGATAAAAATAGCTTGAAGCCAAAGAGTATTCATTGTGTAGGAAAAAGAAACAAAGTTGAACATTTTTTAGGAACCAAAAATCTACACTGACTACAGTCAAGGAGCACACTGAGGCTTTTCAGTCCACAAAATCACATGGTTCATTCACAATATCTTTTCAAGTGAGATGACTAGTTTTGCAAAAAGACAGATTTTTCTAAAAGTATATGTATAAGTTGAACAAATATTTTCATATTTAAAGCCAAATGTAAATAGGACTGTTCCTTAAATAGGCAGTTCATCATTGCTACAGGTTAGCAACCCTTTTACCTTCTCTTGTCAAGCCTTATAGGGTCCCTGTTGCTGTGGACTGTGTTTATTATCCACGCATGATTTTATTACTCAGTTTGACTAGGTTAAAAGCGATTTTGAAAAGTGTTCTGGAATGTTCTTTATCAAGAAGTTTAATTTTTTTTAAGCCAAACCCCCAGACTCATTAACCTTGTGCAAAGCATTTCAGGCCAGCCCTCTTTCTCCCACATTACTGAACCTCATCTGTGGTGCACTTAAGACTTTACAGATGTGCTATACACTGCAGGCAGTACCTGACATTAGCATTAGTCCTTCCCTGGACACTCGTGACTCGTGGGCTTAGCGCCCACCCACTTCCACACTGAATATACTCTCCTATCTGCCACACTGTTTGCCTTGTATGAAATCATTTGCACTCTTTCTGGAAGGGTGGGGGTGGGGGAGCAAAATGTCATTTTATTTCATTGTAAATCACTAGCCAGAAATGTAAAAACAATATATGTGCAAACCATTGGAAATTGTGAGGTACTGATCAGGGACAGCCTGGTTTCAAGTGAGATGATGAGGCAAAAACTGTGGAATGTGAAGGCACCTTTATGCTGCTGTAATCTGAACCATTTTACAGGTGAAGCAATCAACTAGGTCTTGACAGAAATCTGTGTCTGCACTGTACACACAAAGGTACCTTGTCACATTCTTAATATCAGAGGTTTGTGAAAACATCTCCGTTCCTGTGATTTTACAAGCAACAGAGTGTACCTTCTTCAGCAGTCCTTTAAATGTGGGAGATGATGCAGTAGCATGAGACTTTTACAGGTTAGGTCAAACCCACATTAGGGGGAGAGGAACCAGAAAGAGTGGTTTTGGCATTAGTAGCTGTACCTGGGTACAAGTCTTTAAGTACATCCGTTTGCAAGACGTTGTTAGACTCAAGCTGTTTACATGTCCCTTGCTTGTAAGTGTTCTGTCCAGCCTAAGGTCAAAAAGAATGCCTAGCCTTTTATTTTGCATTAGGGTTACTTTGGGGACGACAAGATGAAAAGCCATAAGTACTGTAATCTCCTCAATGGTATGGCTTCTGTGAGCCATTTGGGAGTTTTGCATAGTGCTGCATTGAAGGTCGCTGTCAATAACGATTCTCCTGTTTCGTATCAAGGACTGGCAACCTTGGCAGCATTTCTCCCTCCTCTGTAAATAAATCCTTCCCTTTGCAGCCTTTTTTGTATCAGAGTCTTCCTATTGTACTGCAAAAATCATGGAATGTACAGATTTTTTATATTAATATTATTGTTATTATTATTGTATGTCTTATTTTATTGTTTTTCAATAAAACAGCAATGAATTATTAAAAGGCCTGTTGATTTAAGTATAAACCCTCCAGCACAAGTGTTCTGTGATTCCCACAGGCTATGGTTTTTGACTTCAGACTAGTTCACTGCCACTGTAGTTTATTACCCAGCAGCACTGCCTAATAAGGAGGGTATTTATAGATAAATAAAGAGCTTGTAATGAACTTTAACGGGCCTGTTGTCTGGCTGGCCCCAAATCTGTATCATATTAAACCTTTTTAGCTGTTGATCTATGTGTGTGTGGAGCAGCTGTATAAATAGTGGAAGGGCTGAATTTTTCCAGGGAACTTTAATTTAATAAGAAAATAGCTCCTGGACACCTTTTTTAACCTCGACAAATATAGTAATCATCTAAACAATTCTGAAAGATGGTAGCTGGGCACTGTCAGAAGTTGGGTTATACTAACCAGTCTTTTGCAAACCAGTATTGATGCCAAGCTGTTGTATCACAGCTCTGTTACTCCACTGCTAAGCAGCTCCCTCACAACAAACGAATTGGGGATGGAACAGAAAAAACCTGTGTCGGTTCACTCACCACTACATTTGCAGGAAACTTCTAAAGCATCTTCTAATAAATGTTTCAATTGGTCCTTTTCCATACCTTTTACTATTCTTATATGTTTGCTGTTTTACTCCAAAACTAAATCATCTACCTCATTTATAGTGTTATCCCCAACCACAAATTCCAGGTAAAGTTTCCAAACTATATTAATTTGCTATGTAGATTCACGCCTTTAAAATGTTAGATTATCTTTCATAAAATAATATTTTGTAGTCACCTGGACAGCTTTTCTAGAAAGACATTGTAAATGTCTTTTGGCATGCCTTAGGTCTTAACATCAAGACTAGAGTGAAGATGTTCACAATGAAGAACAGACAGTAAAAGCAAGAATGAAGCACCAGAAAAAGAATGATGTACAGTAGTGCATTCTGGTGTAATCCGGTACACTTACTGTTCACAAGTGCATTGTAATCATTATATAATTACAGGTGGGTAGCTGCGTCAGCATGCGTAGGCTGCAAAGGAACAAGTAATAGGTTTATTCCATGCTGAAAAAAAGAAGAAAAATACAAAGGTTCGGCCGTGACACCTGAAGAAGGCTCCACGGCCGAAACGTTGCGTTTTCTTTCTCCTTTTTTTCAGAATGGAATAACCTTATTACTTGTTCCTTTGCATTATATAATTACAGTAAGTTAATGCGATGCAAAAACCAATTGACTCCACTATATTAATACAGGAGCTGAACTGCTACTTACCATTCTGGACTGCATTCTCAACAAGTCATATACTGTACATGTACAGTAGATTATGTAGAAAAATAACCTGTCCACCAATCAATAAAATAAGCAACTAAAAATGCCAATTGTATCAAGGTGTATTGAAATAAGTCATACCAAAACCTGACAGAATCCAATTATAAATCTGACAAAAGATTAAAAACTAGCAGAGAGAGAGTAAAGATTTCTTTACTACCACTTCTACAATACTTTTTAGGGACAGAGTTACTCTGCAGGAGATGTGACACTATGCAGGTCCCCTGTCCTAAATCGTGCTGTGTGACACAGAGAGCTAAAACCTCTCTTCATATTATCACGACAAGTTTAACGCTAATGCAAGACTTGGCTTTTGATTTCTAACCCAAACTTGCTTCATCACAGTGCTGAATTTCTTTTCCTTAATGGATTACAAAAAGCAAGAAGGCATAAATACACTGGAATGGATATGGGTTATGCTCTTTTTAACACAGACTATGACGTGTGATGAACAAAGGACATTGCCAATTTCTACTCTACACGATAGTCTGAACTATGGTCCACTGCAACAGCCTTTATCACTTATGTCACAACATGGGAGAGTTTTAATTCCATTAACAGTCCAAATACTTCAGTGTGAAATAGACACAATGTGCCAGATTTAATTTGAAAACCCCTCTCTTTTCTAAAAAGATTATTGCATTTCAGAGGGTCTTGATTACTACAGAAACTGGCAACTTTTATCTCTTTTGTTAACAATATTAACATTTTGTTTTTTGTCAACTACCTTCGGGATGAATCTGGCATCAAGGCCATGTTAATTTAGAACTTAATAAATTACTTTTATTCTTTAAATAAACACAAAACCCCCATATAAATTAATTATTTTTCATTTATTTTGATAGTAAGACTGTAGACTAAAAAGGCAATAGCTGTATGATAAAAAAATGCATGATGTGAACTTAAACTGTAAGAAAAGCAATGTAAATAATAAAATGAAAAGCACACAGAAGCCACATGTAGGGATGTCAATGCTAAAATAATATTCACACAATAATTAATAGCGGAGTTCTAACTACAGTTCAAGCAGGTTACCTGATAAAAGTCTTTTTAACCACTGCACCAAACAGGACAGACTGCCCGACAGATACTGTAACTCCCCTAGGGCAGTAAGCCCTTTTACTCTCCTGACAGAAAGTCACAATCTGTGCATTATTCTGTTACATGTTCCTGAGGCTATGTTCTAACAATATGAGATCTGTCACTGTCAGTGGCACAGCCTAAACCAGATGAAAAAGTCCATCAGCATGAAAGAAAAAAAATCTCATTTTTTCTTTAAATATTTATGAGAATTATGACATCACGGAATGGGAAATTTATGTTTTTTTCCCTGAATTTCAGGCAGTGCAGTGTAAGGCAATTACTGCACTCTGTCATTCAGTCACAGTGATAAAATCCAGTATGAGGAAAGAAATGAACATAGTGTACATTCTTATGGCAGTATTCTCTCTGCAAGTCCAGAGTGAATTAGGGATCTTGCCTAACAGGACTTTCAAGAAGATTCACAGTTCAGGAAGGTAAGGGAATAAGATATCTGGTGAACTGTTTTATAGATTAGACAAGATCACTTTATTAGCCATATACAATTTCTTGCATTACGAATTTGTCTTTTTGCATATCCCAGCTTGCTTTCCATGAGATACACAGGGAGAGAGAAGCTTTGGGTCAGAGCACAGGGTCAGCCATATACAGTATACGGAGCCCCTGGAACAGCTGGGGTTAAGGGCCTTGCTCAAGGGCCCAACAGAGTAGGATACCAGCCATGGGATTTGAACTGGCAACCTTCCAACCACAGGCGTAGATCCTTAGCCACAGTGCCACTGCTCCACCCTGATATTCTGATACCATTCTTTTACCGTGTAAAAACTGACATTATATCCTACAGTTTGGTATCAATGTTATGAAATGTATTTATACATAAAAATGCAGGTGACGTGAGACCTTGATGAAGTTACTGCAGTATTAAGTTCTTAATACATTACCAACACAATAACAAAGTATATGGGTAACAGAAGTTAGTTTCTGATACCATTCTTTTACCTTGTAAAGGCTGACATTTCAAACAAATGCTCTATTGTTACTGCGTCCTACAAGCTTTTTTGTGTATGAAGAATACACCTTATAAAAAGGAGTAAGTTACTGGAAAGTTAATAGACACTATAAGGATTAGGAAGGTGATCTTACCAAGAACTGTAATATCCACTTATGGCTCACCAAATAAGAACTATATGAAAATGTATTATACATTCAGGAGTAATTTTCCCTTCATATTTTCTGCAGCGTTTATTTATCTCCTGGCTCACTGTGGGCATGGCTTGGGCAGTCCCAGCACTATGCTGTCTGATCCACAGTCATCTGATGTGTTGCGAGGATACTGAATAAAAAATAAATCATGTACAGTAGCTGAAGGCATACCGCCAGTCCTCAGCTCATCTGTTCTAGCTGTTGTAAGGTACAGGAAGGAATTTATTAACAAATTCAGGACCGTCTGTTACTTCTAAAGACTAATAAAGGAATTAACACTTTTGGTGATCTAGATTACAGAATTAAACCTCAGTTATTCCAGCATTAAAGTGCTGCGTATGAAGAGCGTATCTGTACTTTGAGGTCAGACTGATTTGGTTTGGTAATGGAAGGATTAGAAAAATGTAACGCAGATTACTGTTGGTCACATTAAATGATTTTCCATTGTCCCTGAAGCCCGCTTCAGTGATC